TACATAGAGCCCTTTTTGTCATCCATGAAAAACTAAACAGTTGTAGGCCCTTTTTGAAGTGGGTCAGATATATCCCAGGTGTGTTTCCTGCTGTATCTCAGGTTTATCTAAGATGACAGCCTTTATGGATCAACGGCTAAAACTCACTTGAGCATAGACCTTCACACACCTGTTTTTTTTGTGTGTGTGCTATGAGTCTGTCTTTCCTTATTCTGCCTTAATGTGAGGAAATCAGACCTGTTATGCCACATATCGGCTTAAAAGACGCTCACAGCCTCTACAATGTGCCGTTGCTTATAAAATATGAGTGACAGAACTGTACTAACCTTGTAAAATATGCAATAATGGAAGACTCAGCATTGTGCATTTAGATGAACATCAACTGTTCAGCCAAAACCAAAGAGCTGTGAGGACCACTGCTGTTGGGAGGTCAGATCAGTTTATCTGCTTACATGTTCATCAACAAGAGTGTACAGTTTGAAATCACTATAAATATATAATTCGGGACATCAGCTCAGTCAAACAGACAACAAATATTTTTAAGTTGCCATTTCTTTTCTCAGTCCTCTGCAGCCTCTCACTATTCTCTATTATTCTGCTTCATAGCAATATGATACTAACACTAATGCAAACACTGAGGCTTTCAAAAGGTAGCGACTGTGGGGGGGAAAAACTTGAGGGCAATCTGGGTTAAAAGTAAAAGTGATTCTTTATCCTTATTTTTTTCACATTTCATTTTCTTAAGCAGACCGTTAAAACACCTCACCCACAAAATTCAATCTGATGAGCAGTGACATCTACTGGATGCCCTCTGGCGGTGCACACGGTGTCTGCCCTTATCATTATGCACTGCAGACAATGTATGCATCATTTCACATGACCTAAATTACTTCAAGCCTCTTACAATTTAGAATGCCATGAGAATAATAATTTCATAAGCCCAATTTTATTGGATATGTAAGCCTATTGGACAAAACCATCATTTATATTTTGCCACACAGCTTGCATCATAATGATACCATCAGTAACGATGATCTTTTATTGATCATTCGAAATTATCATTCATTTAAAATTTGAATATCCTTGAGTTATTGTCTGGATCTAAAAAGAAAAAGCCATAAATTAAATAATAATTATGGCTGTTTAACTGTTTAAATGATACAGAAATATTTTGTCATTAATCCTTTTAAAGTCTACATGGACATTTATAATTCTTTAAGAAAAAGCAGCCCATTTTTTAAATAATGTACTCGACAAACAAATAAAACGTTCGATAGAGGCACTGTATAGAGCAGGTCACACTTTTTAAAATGGCTTTATAATTCCACAAGAGGGCAGTATACTCCATATATTAATAAAGACATACAGTAAACCACTACCATCTTTATTTAAATTGACACTTTATATTTAGGTTAAAATGTTTCGTTTACTTGCACTGTTGTTAATTTACTGCTCTGTGTGACTTTGAATTGCCCCCCGGGGACAAATAAAGTTTTTTGAATTAAATTGAATTGAATCTGTCAGCATTTGCGGTTAGATATTGTCCTTATTGACCTGAGGTCTTACAAACTTTACAATGCATTTAACAATGACTTTACTTTTCTAATTTTCTTAAATACATAATGTTAAAACTTTGTTTGTAACTCCTAGTTTTAGATTAATTTGAGAACAAATCAATTATGAGAACTGCATCATCTCATTTTTTTTAAATTAATTGAATCACCACTGATCTGGAACAATGAGGTCAGGTCCTCCAGTCAGGAATATTTAAAGAGGCAACTTCCATTGTTAAAAAATGAAGCCAATATGGAAGTGCAAAATCCTGCAGTTTATCAACCGTCTGCTTGAGGCTGGCTGGAGCCACAACAGCCAGTTTTTACAGGAGAAATTAACATGTTTACAGCCTGTTTCAAAAAACGATATTGGTCTGACTTGGATTGTCCTGATCGGCACACACTGTATGGGGTGTGAATGGTTTTGTAATGCATCCCTTTTGATTTTATAAATGCTACATCTTATCCATATAGGAGTGTAGCTGACCTGATTGACAGGTGGGTAACGGTTTGTCAAGAGGCTTCCAGCATGGCTACTGCCGCAGATGAGCCTCCAGATCCCCCTGCCATAACATATGGGTGATGTCACTAAGGCTTTGTCCATTTATATTTACAGTCTATGATATTTAGGTATTTCAATCTGCATTTACTTCCTATAGTTGAACACTTCCTACACACACAGCATATACAAGATTGATCTAAGACTTACTGACATCTCGCAGCCGGTTTGAGAAGGGTGGATGAGTGTTGGCGTGTGAGAGAGTGTGGACAGTGCATGTTTGATGCCCATTTAAGGTTTCAACCTCAACCTGAAGAGCAGTCTCTGCATAACTGGAATGCCACACAATATGATAACCAGAAGCTTTACACAAGCTGTCAGGAAGGGGAGTAAACGAGAAGGCGAGAAGGAGGGAGCCATGAGAGGACAGATAAGTTTGAGGGTCCCTACAAGTGTAAAGAGCTAAACGTGTGACGGACAGAAATGTGAAATGTCTTGGCACGATAAGAGATGTGACCTTTACTTTGTCCTTTGAGCCATGTTGTTTTGCCTAGTGCTGGTTGAAAACAATAAATATTAACCCAAATATGGGGAGGGGGTTATTTCATAGTTTAACTCCATCAAATGTAATATATACATTTATATTGGAATTAAGTATAAAGAAAACACAAATGATCCAAAATGTGATTTAATGCAAAATTGAGGCACCATTTTTTTCTTGAAACAACTTAAAATTGTAAGTTAAAAAACATCAAAACAGTGCATGCCTTCCCAAACACCTGTCTTACTCACTTTGATCATTTCTTAACCAAGGGAATAAACTGCACCAAAACTGGGAGATTTGCTGTAAAATCAGAATAAAAAAAAGAAAGATGATCAAAGTTTTTATTTAAATGATCCAGTTTTTTTTTAAGGTTCAAATCTGGTCGACTTTTACTTTTTTCCTTGTAATGCTGCCAAAAAATGACAGTTTTCAAACATCTTTCTTGATGAAGAATAGTAAAAGACCAGATTCCTTGAGCTCTCTTGGCTTCTGATAAATTGAAAGCAGTGGTCAGCGTATACCACAAACAGAATCCCATGTGGGAAACACACAGGAAAAATAACTCATTCACCAGCTAAGACATTAGCCACTTCACTCGTCTCCAGCAACAGCCTCTCCTCCAGCTATGTTCACTTCAGGGTCCAAATAAGCATCATAGTGACGGCCACATGATGAACCAGAGGCTACACATTTCAAAGCAATATGTCATCATGGTGCATCATAACCATTGTGTAAGCAGGAAATTGAGCCTGGAAATTGTTTACACCACTTCCAATGCAGATTTTTTATTATTTTCATTTTTTTTATTAATATTCACAAATCAACTAATTTAGATATGTAAATGTAATTGTTGGTCATTTGTAGACAAGAAAAAAACCAAGAGGATTATGGTTCCCTGGTTTTTGTTTAGTACACAAGCATGTTCACTAGCATTTAAGTGGACAATGGCTGTATGCAGGCAGAAAGACAGAGCATGTAGAGGGTGGAGAGCTGAAGGGTCAGACGCAGTCCTCTCTAATGAAATCTAAGAACCCATTAGCAAAACATGTAACTATGATTTAGCTAATTAATGTATTCAAACAGGAACCTGCTTGTGCAGCTAATTAATTGCCTCTTATGTTAGTGCTAGTCAGTCTGTAAACAAAGGCAACACACAGAAGGGCCGGAAGCGTTTAATCACTTACTGCTGACGACTCCAAAAAGCCCGCAAAAGTTGACCTTAGGGGGACAGACAGATAGACAATAGCTGATGGGTTTTAAGATTGCAGGAATAAAAAATATTTTTCTTTAATCCAGCTGTAAAATAGCTGTTGTTAAAACCATGGCAGCTCTAAGTTATCTGGATCTGTATGTGGAGGATTTGATTCCTAAACTGCAGATTCCTTTTGAGATATCTGCTCATAGTGACAGACACGTGTAAAATCTCTACTCTAAATCGTCCGGTGCTGCCGTGGCTCAGTTGGAAGGGTGTGTCGTCTCTCAACTTGAAGGCTAAGGGTTCAATTCCCTGCTCCTCCAGCCACATGTCCAATGTGTCCTTGGGCAAGACATTTGACCCCAAGTTGATCCCGCTTCTTCTTCTTCGGCGGCGGCATACATGAATGTGTATGGATGGACTTTACATAGCAGTGTGTGAATGGGCGTGAACGGGTCGGTGCGACATGCAGTGTAAAAGCGCTTTGAGTAGTCAGAAGACAAGTAAAGCTCTATACAATCTCAAGTACATTCACCATGTTTGTTATTGGCCGTATGGTTTATTTAAAAAAAATCCCATAACAGTGTGCTAACTGTGAAGCTTCATTTAAAGCTAACAAACCTTGCTGACTATCACTTATTCTTATCCACACATACATACATTTCTCTTGGTACTTCTCATGTAAAGCCTTGCAGCAGGACACTTGAGGTTACCTGATGGAAGACAGTTTTTTGTCCCGTTCCAAACAATGAAGGTTTCTTTGAGGATCATATCTGCCTCTTTAAATAAATCCCTCCTTGGTCTCAGAGGGGAAAGGGTTGCTCTCAGGATAGCAGCCAGAATGAGCAGGTTGGCCGCTCCTTTCATTATACTGAACCTCCCCTAAGGCGCTCTTCCTTTCTTTGCTGTCCCTATGCCCATCTTCTTCTCTTTGTCTCAATCTCTCCTATCAGCTATCTCACCCTCCTTCCCTATTTATTACACTTTTTAGTGTCATTAATCCGTCTTTGCTCTCTCTCCCTTACCTTACTGTCAGCTTAACCTGCACATTCATACAGATACCCAAGTGGATCCTCTATCTCTCTCTCTCTCTCTCTAACCTACACACACACACACACACACACACACACACACACACACACACACACACACACACACACACACACACTCACACGCCCATGCTTACAACCATCCCCTCCTGCAGGCAGAGCAGGGCGATGCAGGAGCGGCAGCGGCAGCCGCTCTGACACACTCTGGCGTGACCAACACACAGAAAAGGCAGGAGGAAAGAATAAGGAGGAGGAGAAGATCAGGAGGAGGGGAGGGAGGAGGAGGAGAGGAGAAAGAGAGAGAAAGGGAGGACACAACTCTGTCAAGAGGACACGGGAGGAGTGGAGAAGGCGAGGAGGACGAGGAACAGGAGTAGGGTAAGGAGAGCAGAGGAGGACGGTGTTGCAGCCATGTCTGACACACCTTTGCAGAGGAACGGCACAGCAACAGCACCGTGAGTACATTATCTTTACCCTTTATGTCTGCATTTATCTTTGCCTCCATCTCTCCACCTCTCTCTCTCTCTCTCTCTCTCTCTTCCCTCCATCTGACAGGCTGGGTTGTCATGGGAACGGCAGCTCCGTCATGGTGAGGCTGCAGCTCAGTCATGACTAGCGAGGAAACACGCGGTACACCATGTACACTCCTCCTTCTCCTCTCCTCCTTCTGTCCCTCCGCTTTCCACTCTCTGTACACCTCACACACCTCACCGCACATCAACCTTTCACGGCTTTACTCTTTTACAGTATGTGCATCTTTCCATCACTGTCTCTGCTCTGTGTGTTATAATGATCTTTTTCTCTGATTCCTGAAATCTTTCTCATTTCTTATTCAGACTCACTACCCCCTGTCCTGAAATGCAGTATGTGTGAATTTGCCTCAGTTTATGTGTAATGAGCATGTTTCAGCATACTTAATGTGGAGGCTGCAGGCTCGGTCCAGCCTCAGTGTGTGAGCACAGTCCGCCATGCTGCAGACCTCTTCTTCCTGTGTGTGGTTTGTGGTTCTGTGTTTGAATGCATTTGACTGTAAATGTCTCTCTTTCTGAGAATATGTTTCTTTAGTATACAATTCGACACCAAAGACATTAGCATGTACTTCCAGTCATGACAGCCTGTGGTATTGATTATAAAAACAGCAAAAAAAATATCAAGCAAGCACAGGCAGTGTGCTAAGAATTGTGCAACACTGGCAGCTCATTGGATTGAAAAACACTGCTCACTGTCAAGTCTTTGGCGACGTGCCCCATGAGTACCAAAGATGCGCAAAATCAGCACATTTTTCAAATCCATCTGATGCTCTAGCTGTATCTTCAGACAAAAGATTCAAATTCCCCCCAAAAAATTTAAAAAGCATTTGTGAGGAAAAAGAAAATTGCATTTCACAATACATTTGAGAAACAAAAATAATGTTAATAATCATTTTCTGATACATTTTTGAGGTTTTTGTCTCTCGTATCCTGAGACACAATATAAAAGTTTTTATAACCCAGATATGATCTTGCATTGAAGCATATTCTGAAGCTGTTGCAGATTCAGAATATTTCTCATAAGCGAAAACAATCTTGATAGTTCACGAAAAAGCCTCAATTCTGTTTTCACATCCCCACATTAGATGGTATTAGATGATTGGTGTGATCAGGCCAGATATCTAAACAATCAAAATATGACTTTGTAGATTCTTTTTGGGTTTCCGGGCTAGCAAGTACATTACCTGCCATTACACGTGGAGCCAGTTGCTTTAAGAATGAGTCACATTATGGGTTGTTTGTAGGTTTTTTTAGTTTTTTAACCACTGCTACTGTGTTGATGTTTGGGTTAGAACATCTTAAAAGTGTTCTGACAGATAGCTTTAAGTAGAGAATACTTACGCATGTTACCACAGAGAACATAAACAGTGAGAGTGTTTGTCATTGCGTTTGTATTGCTTGATAGTAAATATTCAAGTAACCAACACATTTAGAACAGACACTGCCAGCAAGATTTCACAATCAATATTGCTTTGAGAGATAACAGTCTGAAAAATTCTAACATTTTCAACTTTGGCAAACGAGAAAGATGATCAGGAAAAATGAAATTTGATGTCAATAAATGTTGAGTAAACCCACACCAACTTAATTTGTGAATTAATAATAATAGATTTTGATAATAATTTATACTTTATTAATCCCGCAAGGGGAAATTCAGTTTTCCACTCTGTTTAATGAACATGCTACACACACATAGGCCGAAATACACACACATGCACAAACAGGATCCTATGGACATGCGTTAATGGAGAGGTCTCAGAGTGAGGGGGCTGCCCACAGCGAGCGCTCCAGAGCAGTTTTTGGGGTTCGGTGCCTTGCTCAAAGGGCACCTCGGCAGTGCTCAGGAAGTGGACTGGCACCTCTCCAGCTACCAGACCAATTTCCAGACTTGTTCCGTGCCGGAAGACTGAGCTACTGCCGCCCAGTATTAGACACCAATGCTAGACATCACATGGGAGTTTTATGTAGTCTAAACCTTTATAAATCATCAATCAGCTGAGTCCACTGCTTTTAACTGAGACCCACTGGTTTGAAAGGGAAGGGTTAAATTGGGATCATTTTTTGTTGCACCTGAACTTAGAGCAATCAGCTGCTGTATGAACTGGTGTTGGAAGAAGTAGTGGCTTGATAGTGTAGTGAGAAAAGGAGAGTGGGAGTTCTTCTTTAACATTCAAAGTGTTGTGGGTGTACTGTGTTGGATTTTACTGAAGCTACTGCAAGTGTAGATATTCATGTGGCTGTTATAAACAGACTTCCATAACCGAAAAGGTTAATGTATTAAAGATATGAGAAAGTTTCACTTGATTTCTATAGTTGTGCACCACATGGTTGAATGGACATTGTAGCCTAATGAAAGTGTAGCTCACTTGCTAAACACATCGGTTTGAGGTGCAACTTAAAATATATATTTTTTGAAAATTAGGTGCACACGTACGTCACAGAAGTAATAGCTTTCTCAGTTCGTGGTGTGTGTTCTCATAATGTTGATTGCATACTTTAGCTTTTGCATAATTAAAACAGTCTACATTCACTGCAGTTGTTGCAGATTAGGAGATGCTGAGCAGTTTGCTGCTTTGAGTGACAACATACTTGTTATACAGCGGCCTGACAACAAGAGACGGAATCAGCTGTTGACAGGCAGCTTGAGTGACAGGTCAACTGGATTTTTTTTTCTTCTCTCTTTCCATCAGAGCCGCACCCATGAAGCAGGCAGAGATGGTGCAGTGAAGCATGAAGCAGCCATGCCTGACTGGTGCATCAATAGTTAATGGTATAATTGTGAAAATTAGACATTGCTGTCGTGATGCAGTCCGTCTACCACCTTCTGTCTCTCCACAGCGCTGTCTGTTTACCTCTGTGCTGTGGGCACATTTCTAATCATCACGCACACTGTACGTCCCTGGGGTTGTCCACTGATTCAGCAGAAAGACAAGATAGTATTTGTGGTCATGTGGAGCCCAGACACCACAATGGCAGATGGCCCAATCTCTGTTGCTATCTACTGCACTCTCAGGGAAATGTGTCAGGGGACAGACTCTTATCAGTGAGGGGCTGAATTCAGCACATTTATCTGCACTGAGTGCGAGAGCAATACATTAACCAACATCTTCATACAGTAGATATTTATATTATCTTAAAAAATAAAATGATTACTTACAAGAAACAACAACAGTTTGAATATGAGAAAAGAAGTAGTTTCATACCTTAATTCCTAGCCCGACTAGAACTGCGTTCACACATGCTCCCCTGAAAATGTCAAGCAAGCTGCCCCTGAAATCTTCCTGAGTTAGTCGTTCACACATGCAGGACATGATGTAAAAAGAACAACACAGGTATGGTGGACTAAGTCTAACGCTAATGACAGTTTCAGCATTCATATCAATTCTATGTGTAGTTTGAAATATTCATTGCAAAATGGACTTTGGCTGATACAACGCTTTTCGAGTTGTCTCCGTCTCCTGCCCAGGGACTACAGCTAACTCTGGAACAGATAATTAGCTGAACAGTGTCATGAAAAAAACATAAAAGAATCAACAACAAAAAAAATCACAGACACTCATTTGCACCGTGTTCACATACCGACGGCAGTAAATCGACAAGGGGAACAGACACAGAGCGGGCTGGAAAGTTTAGTAGTATGCGGTATAAGGGATCTTTATTCATGAATGTTAATTCTTTAAGCAGCAGGGTTTACAGTTTAACTTGTTCCTGTTATCAGTTCTTTAGATTCTGAGCAATGTTCGATGCTCTGCATGCATCTATATCGGTCAACGTTTTGCATGCAAAGCATCGACTGTTCACTCCTTTGATGTACCTTTCATCAAGTTATTTTGCAGTCACGCCAATAACAAAATGATCAACTTTAAGCCACACAATTATCCAGTAGATTTCATATTGTCTTACATGTAAGTAGACTTGTGGTTTTGTGGCTGTAGCAAATTGACATACTGAAGTTTTATCATTTAGAAAAACACAGGAAGTGCATATACCTAACTATTTGCAAAAAAAGCCAATAATTTACAGAATCTATTAAGCACCAACTTCTTGAAACAAGCAGGCAGTTTAAATTCTGTTTGTGTATTTATCTGAAGACTGCTGCAGGGGAAAAATAAACGGCCTAATCAGTGAGCAGTGCCCTGCAGTATTAGGTTGAGGTGAAAGGCTCCTGGTGATGCATTTCAGCTTTTCAAATATTTTCTAATTTATGTTTAATTAAACTGTGTGTACAGACAGACAGAAGGGTGTGAGACACACAAACACAGTCTGACCTCCCTCAGTGATGTATAAAATATGAATGAGTCTGGCGCACCCATATCCAATAAAATGTCTGTTTGAGCCAATTTTCCTCTCATTACACTTTCGGTCTCTCTCGTGCACATATGCAAACACACAGACATTCACACACAATCACACACACTGACTCAATAACTCAGTCTGCATCAGAGACCAGTGTGAACTATATGTGTGGCTGTATATATGTTTTATTTATTTTTGGAAGAATTAAAATGTGTGCGTACTATGCTGAAGACACACACAGCGAACAAATACACAGTTTTTCTGACTCACTTTTCTTTGTCCATATTTGCTCTTTCCCTCCGCCTCCTACTCACTCAGCATGTTGTTATATTTTTGTGAATGTGTGTCTCTCTCTCTAAGTGAGTGTGTGTGTGTGAGTGTGTGTGTTTCTCTGCCTCTGGTTCCACATCTGGAGGCCATTACCTCTGGGCTGGGATGGGGGGGGGGAGGAGGCGGGGCAGGGCTAGCTGTGCAGTGAGGTCATTGCGTCGTCGTGGCGATGCAGAGGAACAATGATGCTGTTGTCTCTAACGACGAACCAACGTAGCTGACGCCAGAATTACAAGGTTTGAGGGGGAGGAGGAAGTTAAAAAGTTTTTTTTTTTTTTTTTGGGGGGGTAGAGAGGAAATAAAATAAAAATTGTAGAAGTAAAATAATGTTCAAGTTAGAACGCATGATTGGTAAGGACAGTATGAGCAGCCATCATAATGATATGATTAGTGTAAATCCAGGTCAAACAGAGACTCTCAGAGGCCAGAAGTCTTGGACTGTTGGCTGTAGAGTTCGACAGCTGCAGAGCTGAGACTGGCTCCTTAACATAAGCTTCATACTACTGAGACTCCAGACAGGTCATGGTTTACAACCTGCATGTTACCACAGTCAATCGCAACACAATGTGTTCAAATATTTTTTCCATCTCTCATGTGAGCTAGCTTGTCAAATGCATTTCATTTCCAAATGATCAGTTTGTTCTGGAAACCATACAAAAATCGAGATTCATTCCCAAGTTATTTACAACTCAAATTATGTATAAAGAGATTTTTTAAGGCTATTGCAATGATTGCAATGAAATGAAACAAGCTGTTAGCACATCATTATTGCAAAATCGGTATTTAAATCTGAAATGTTAACTCTGCCTGCAGTAAAAATTTGCTATAAAGTCAATTTGCTCTCATTTCTCTCCTTCTGGTCTTTCTAAATTCCCTCGGGAAGCTGCCATTCTCTTCTTGCTGCTGTTTGGCGCTGGACAGATAGTGTACTGTTTTTCAGAGGATATCATAGAGGGGGATGCCAGCTCCTTAAAACAGAGGAGAGAGTGAATCGAAGCAGTAAAGTGGTGTTCACCAAAACAGCATGCTTACAAGCACACATTTAATTTACCACTTCTTTTTGCTTAGCTATCTTAAAATAAAATCATAAGCATAAGCATAAAATGAATGTTTTTCAAGATAGATTCAACTTTTGAAAAGAAAGAGTGGAAACAAATGAGGGATAATTACCATAAAATGCAAAAATCCAATGTAGCTGCAGTAAAATGTCACCAAAGAGGGATTTATCCGTTACTAAATACAACAGTCTCCTCTTAAAAAAAATCAAAAAGGCTCCACATTTGCATCACGTTTGCCAGGCAAGACTTGTAAAAGCAAGTTAATAAAGGTAGAACAGAAATAAGTCTTTTAATAAAACATCTGAAGACACACACATTTAAGAACAAAACACATGTGATATGTTTTTCTATTTAGTCCATGATTGGTAATCCAGATTTGTACATTAAAGGTTCAATATATGCAGACCTGCAGCATTTAAAAAAGTCGGTACAGCTGGATTGAAGAAGGTGTGACTTCTCTTTGTTCAGTGGTTAATAAATGATGTAATACATCTTTAAGTCTTTTTGTGGGTTATTTGACTTGTAACAACTCCCTAACACCATCAAATAACAAAATCTAACAGTTTAACATTTCACATGCTAATAAGGAAGCAATAGCTGAGTGTATTCCTTGATTCAGTGTTGCAGCTGCTCAGTGGCTTTAAAGGACAGATACTCTCCAGCTGTAGACATTTATTACACACTTTTCCTGGAGCAATGCATTGCCTTTTATGTGTTTGTGTGTGTGTGTTTCTCTCTCTGTGTGTGTGTGTGTGTGTGTGTGTGTGTGTGTGTGTGTGTGTGTGTGTGTGTTACATGCTTCTGTATTCCCTTAAGAGTTGTCCAGGACGGCTGCTGTTGTTTCTCCTTATAAGGACGTTTACTCGTGAAAGGAGGGATGTAGAAAAAGGAGAGAGAGGAGGACAGGAGAGAACAGAAAGTGTGAGGAGGAAATGGATAGACCAGAAGAGGGACAGGTGGGATATGAAGAGGAATGGGGGCTTGGAAAGGGAGGTTTATTGGAGGGATGGAGGAGATGGGGATTTAGAGAAAATGTAGAAAGAAAGGGTTCAGGAGGGAGCAAAGGAGGGATGTAGGGGAAAGAGAAAGTCTAGGTTAGAGGTGTAAAGGGGTGACAGAGAAAGAGAGGAAGAAATCAAAGAGTTAATAAAAGAAAGTGTTGGATATGGGACAGGAGATTTTATTATGTGTATGTTGAAGGAAAGAGAACAAGAAAAAAAGAAAGGAGAAGGCGGAGGGAAAGAGGGAATACAAATAGAGGTTTTGAATGAAAAGGGGGAAATAGATGAGGAATGATAAAGAATTAAGTCAAATGTATAAAAAATAAATTAAAGGAAGAATAAATGGAATTCTACTATGGTAGAAAAAAATGGGACATAGGTAACAGTGACCCATTTACAAACTCTGCATTGAACGCTGTGCCTTTAAAGGGCTGTATTTGCTTTTTGTGTTTCCAAACACATTCTTCTGCGTGGCACAATTATCACATTTTTTACTGTCCTGTTCCTGCTTTTTTTTTTTTTTTAAAGTAGGAGGCTTTTATTGATGTCACTTTGAGAGGCGCTGGAATAAATGTACGACCAGAGTGACCAAAATAGATCCTGAAGAGTCAGCTGTAGGGTTGTTTGTGTGTGGGCAACACAACTGCCTGTGGTTTCATGGAATTTTATCAAACAGATCAGATTTTGAAACTATGATAACACTCGGTGAATGTTTTGTTTCTTTTATGGTGTATGTTGCTTGACCCTTGAAATGATATGACATGATATGAGAAATGTTAAATCTTTGAATCTGCTTCAGCTTACAGCTCAGCGGTGGCCTGTCCAAAAACAGCACATATTGACAGCAGTAATTCTATAAACTTATTGACATACGGACGACTGTTGGCCTTCTACAGTAGGAGTTTGTGCTATAATGTAATTTTATGGTAATGTTGTTGAGGAATCCACATTTTTGCATAATTAATTATCAAAGCATTTACAGTTTCCTGTATTTCAGACACAGAATATGGACAGCAGATTAGGGACAAAAAAATAAGACTAATTTAGTTTCAAGCTGTTTGCAATTTCTCATTGTCTGGTCTGCACTTCCAAGTATGATAAATCACTCCTCTGCTTCCTTTTTCCTGACTTCTGCATTTTATTTCTCTCTTCCTCTTTCTCTCTATCATCGCTTTTGACTCCCTCTCTCTCTCTCTTCCCACACTCCCCCCCCCTTCATGCCATCACTTCTCGCTCTGTCTCTCCCCTACCACCTCTCTCTACCTACCTCCCTCTCTCTCTACCTCCCTCTCTCTCTCTCTCTCTCTCTCAGCTGCTCCTCCCAGCTGTTTAATCACACATGGCCCATGCCTAAAAAAGAGAGAGAGAGTGGGAGGAGGGAGGGAGGGGACAAATGGGAGGAGAGACAGAGAGTGCAAAAGAAAGAGTGGGTGATAGAGTCAGAGGGAAAAAGAGAGAGAGAGAGAATGCAAGTACATGGTCTGAGTGTGAGGCACATGTCCAGTGAATGAGAGATTCTTTGCGTCCTCTCAGTGTGAGCTCCTTCTCCCTCTGCCTCCTGTCTCTGGTTGGATTACTTCTGAAGAAGGACCTCGTCTGGATACTCTTCTTCTCTTCCCTCTCTCTCCTCTACTTCCCTCCTCTTCTTGTCTCTCGCTGAGGGACTCCAGCCCTCTGTCTTTCCCAGATCTCACGTCTCCTTCTCCTTTCACTCCCCTCTCCCCTGTTTCCCCCCTCAGGATGTCGTGTGAGGAGGCTCAGCTCCACAAAGAGAGGCTGCAGGCCTTGGCGGTAAGTCAGACTGGGTTTGAAATATCTGTTTTTGCTCTCTTCATGTTCCCCTGGCCCTCTGTGTGTTTGTTTTGCTTTCTGTTTGTCAGTCGCTTAAAAGAAAAAAAAAAAAAACGAGGGCTTTATGGGAACTGCATCTCACCTCGACTCCATGTCAGTCTGTCATTCACAGTTCCATATTACGTCAAACTGTGTGTTACATCAGAGTTCCTGCAACTCTGATCCCTCTCTACCTCTCATTCACTGTCATGCTCTCTGTGCTTCTCACTAGCTAGTCACATTGTTCATTCATGTTCCATTCAGGCCAATCCAAACACACAGACAGGGCGGGAAATAGTGCCTCTTTGCTCAGGTTTATTCAACTCTGTCAAATGAATCTGTTTGAAGCAACAGTAACACCAATGGTGCTAGACATGACAGTGACCCCCCCTTGACTTCTGTTGTTCCTGTAATTAGTGTAAGACAATCACCTTTATGATCATTGAAGCTAAAGTTTAACTGCCCAATTATAAATGTGACTAAAATCCATCATCATCATCTGTTTTGTATATTTCAGTCTAAGGTGAAAAAGTTCAATCTGTTGGGAGCCTGAAAGCATGACATCATAGCCACCGACACCTTTTTTTTGTTTTGTCGTATAAAATGAATTTTGCCGCACACACTGTAACCCGCCTTCTGCCCTGCACTGCTGCTGTAGTCGGCTGCATTTGTCTCGCTGTTTCCGTCAGCTTTCATCATCTTCCATGTTCTTTTTTTGGGAGGGAAACCAACTCAGAGGAAAGTTGGTGGAAAATCAGATCTTTCCCTGTTTTTTTTTTTTTGTTGCCAGATGTCTGAGGTTTAAAGGTTTATATGCTTTCCTAGGTAGGATATGATCTCAGCTGCAAGGTGGTCAAGAACATGTTTCGATATACACTTTGTGTTTCATGATCACTGAGGCATTTGTTGAAGCTGCTGGTAGGACTTCAGAGCAACAGTTAGACCTGGAGTCACTGCCTTGGACTAAATTTGGCGCCAGCAAGGAACCACAGCATACCACACACACTTAAGACGCGCAGCGGCACAGGAACACACACATGCACACTCATTCGTACACACAAGTGGGGGGGGGGAACTGTGGCAGCGGCAGATGGAGAAAGTATTTTGGCCACGTTGAACCTGAAGCTGTACCAGGCTGCGTGGACTTGAACTAGTCAGGAAATTACGTGAGGAAAGACAGCGGAAAGTTTATTTGAGTCAAAACATTTTCTGTTTTTTGAATCATTCATACATTTTTATTTGACCAAACATGTCAAAACCATCAATTATGATATCATGTTAATACGTTGTTGTGTTTTGTGCACGAAGACATTTCAGAATTTGCAGAATATTATGAGAGCAGCAGTTGCAAGCAATACAACTGCTCTGACCAAATACTTTTCAGAGAGTGTAAGTCCTGATCTCTGACGGACCTTTAAAGACAGGTCAGGTGTTGAATGGAAGTAAACCATTTGAGACTACTTGTCTCCTCCAAATGAACAACTGTCTTGTCTCAGTTTTGTTTATGTACACTAAATCAAAGACAATTGCAGTACTAATAGCTCTCAAGCCCTGAGCGGCACTTAAATAGAGAAGGGTTACTACTACACTTATACACTATTAGCGCTAACAACTCAGTGAGGCTCTCCTGGCCTCAGAGGAGGCTGACAAGCTCAGATCCAGTGTAAACACAGGAGCTGAAGAGGGTTTCCTTTGGCACCTCAAAGGAAGGAGAAGGATTTTATAAAACCTCATCTGACCGTAAATCAAATGTATCAAGCATTTCCAAACAAGGAGCAGTTTCAGCTGGCTTAAAAACTGTCCCAGGACAAAGTTCAAATCATCATAGAAAACTGGATAACAATGTCTTAAACAATTTTGAGTGCACACAATATATTCTCTGCTCTTTCTGGCTGTCTGAAAAAATATTTCTGAACTCCTGAATAAAGGTGTACACTGTACACTGTGTACAGTTACTACACACTGACTCTGGTCAGCAGCTGACATGCTAATGATTCCATCAATAATTTACACCTTGAGTTTTCATGTCATAACCATCAGTGCCTGTCCTCATCAATACTTAAGGAGATCTCAAGACCAAATCTGAAGCTTCCTTTAAAATCAGATTAAAGGTTAGACATTCATCGCCGTGTGAAAACACACTACTACAGACTGAGATTTAAATCCACATGTCATACAGTTCATTCAAGTTTCAGTTTTGTGTTGGCAGCTGCGATTTACTAATTAAATAGAACAGAATCATCCCTGTCGGGTAGCAGGCAGCTGCCATTGTAATACTAGTTTCCCATAAAGACAGGTCTGTGTGCTGTGTGGCTCATGCATAAAGAATGGCACTAATAGTTGTGAATCACCCAGCTAGCTTTTTTTTAGCTTGGCAAAAAGGGAGGCATACCTGCTCCATCACAGCTGTGGAGTAAAACTGTGAGGTGAGAAATTACAGTATTTAACTTGGACATTTAAGCTCCAGTGACCTAATTTCCTCAATCAAATTTTCACATCTACAAAAATGAAAAGTCATTATTATCCATCTTTAAGCAGACCAAACATGGCAAGCATTTTTATGAGCCTTCCCCATCAATTTTGCAGGGTAAGCTACATGTGTGAATGCAAACAGCCATATTTTTCACCTCTATTTTACCCAGAATTCTTTCAACAAGCTTTCTTGTAAAACATTCTCCAAGAAATGGGGCGACAACAAGAAGTTGGTTGGGACTCTTTCTAAAACTGCGAAACGCAGGTAATATTCAGGGAATTTAAAGCGAGCAAGCGGGAGAGGGTGATGACGTTTATATTGTGTCATTGAAAGGTCTTTGTACATGTAATGAAGTCGCCTACTCTTTCTGCTTGCCAACATGTTCTTTTTCATATTTTCATTTATACGGTGAATACTTCCAATTACACATAGTGTTGATATACTGTAGAGGCAAGCACCTGAAATTTGCTTGACATTTTGAGGAGTGCATGTGTGAAAAGGGCTCATTCCTGTCTGTCTTAGAATTTCATTCCTAACAATAACTCTTCATGCAAGCAGGCCCACTTTTGAAATAGTTATTTATAATTTTACCAAAGTGGCCCTGTGTGGAAATGTTCTGCTCCTGCACAATGTATTTGATGTCCCCATTATGACTTGTGTAAAACTTCAACAAACTAGCTGTAATATGTCTTAAATCTGTCTGTTTTTGTCAGCTTTTCGAAGTTTGCCTCCAAACTGAAAAATATTACTGGTTCATTTAATGATTACTAAGAGCGTTAAACGCTCTGTAAAATATAGAGTGAGAAAGTGTTTTTCAGTTTTTGATTAGTCAATTTGCACATATTTCTGCTACACATACAAATAGAGGAAGATTCCTACAGTCTGATAGTGATTAAGGCTTATTAGCTGACAGCAGCTCAGGTTTCCATGGCTACTAATTGGTCAGATTAGGAAACAGTTCTGATGTCATGTTGTTAAACCCCAAAGCTGTTATTGGTGTATAATTAACATGTAATTATAGCATTTTGGGAATCAGGCACGGCCAGGGTTCCCCCGAAAAATGATTACATATGTTTGTATATGCGTTTGTGTTTATATGTGTTCTCCAGAATCCTGCATGTGGTTTTAAGATCAGCCAATGAAGGATGTTCATCTTTCTAATCAGCAGTTGCCCAAGTGGCCTGCTAACCACAGATGCTATGTGTGTGTGTGTCTTTGCATGCACGCTTTCCTAACTTCTGTGTTGTGTCTGTGATATGTTTACACAAATGACCTCAGCCCTTTGGACTCTTAGTTGCCCCCCTTACACACACACACACACACACACACACACACACACACACACACACACACACACACGCACACACGCACACACACACAGTTAAATGCACATAAGGCCGCAGAGCCAAGTCTGAGGGGAATTAGTAAGCGGTGCAGAAGGAGTGAGATGATGTGTTAAGGTTTTCTGAAAAGACAGAAAATGAGGAGAGCTACAGGGAAGCAGAGATTTGTTACAGCAATAAGATCGCCTTAAGCTCAGAACCTCTTTGCTTTATTAGCATTGTTAAGAATCCTGGAAGACTCACAAGCAGTTTTGTCTTCATTGTATTTATTGTACCTTATGTTGATCTCTTTGGATGATTAAAAGTAATCTGTGTAATTTAAGGTCAATCAGGAAGCCGGTCGGTGTTCTGGATCCACTTAGTGATTGCTAACAGAAGCAAGTGAGCAGGGTGAAGGAGAGGGGGATGCTTTAGCTAGACCTTGGCATGCACTGAGATTTGTGGCTGTGGCATGCAGTGGAGGGCCAGGGTAATGGGCTGCGTTAAGGAGAGGTAAATAGAGTTGGGGGCTGGGCTGCCTGCAGGCCTTGTCAGTTTGTGCACTCAACTTTCTTATGGAGTGACATGTTGGGAGCATTGATTCTGTGAAAACTGATTTGATTTTATATTGAGAAAGCATTAATTCTAGCTGATGTTTCCTATGGCTCTTATTTTCAACACTAGAACTGTGTTTCTGCTGCTTTTGTGCAAACACATGTGAAACATAGGGATACATTTTTATTTGACTGCATTGTGCTCCAACACAAACATACCTGTTTATCAAATTAGTATTGTGAGTGTTCACATTAAACTAAAATAAAAATAAATTGATGAAAAGAGAGACTTCTCACTGTTCTTAAAAATTAGACTTACATTGCAATAATTGTATAGTAACAACAGTAAGTTATGTGAATCATATAATCTGCTTTCAAATGCTGTTAACTACAACTGTGTGTTGCAGAGCAACAAGAGTAGCCTGAATTAGTTTCTCTGGGAGATTGTTGATCCCTATAAGTAATCTTTAACCATAAAACATGTCTGCCTTAATAAGACACTTTCCTGTAATAGTTTTCGCATGCTTTATCTGGGGTGAGACTGCATTAAGTTTGCAACCCTGGATAATTTACAGCCTAATAAAGCAATTACACAAACATATAACAGATGCT